AAACCTGCAAGCTTAAATAATCCACAAACTTCATCCACATAGATTAGATGCATATCAGGATGTAATGTTCCATCTCCTGCATAAGGATTAGCTAGCAGTTTCTCTATCATACCCGAAGGAATTTCATAATAAATATTTTCAATAGGTTCAGTAGGTTCAGTAGGTTGAGGGTCAACTCTCTGCTCTTCCGGTCGGGGTGAAGATACCCCGAACAAACCCCTCAAAGGATTATTCTCCATAGTAAAAAGTGACAGGAAATTTCAGCACACTATATAAATGTTCCCTTACTAAATTCCACTTACCAAAGGCGCTTCACTCCCCGGCAACAACACCAGAAAAGAGTCTTGATGACCCACAAATATAGGGGATCTATCGTAGTCCTTTATATAAGTAAGAGTGTTGAACCCAACGAGGAGCAGAAGGAAATGACAAACGGTTTTCAGCAAGGTATTCTCTGCAAGCACTGAAATAATCGATAACAGATAGTTGTGTGATAAGATAATTCGTAACGGGTAACAAGTAACAAAAGTAACTAAGGTGCAGCAAGGTGGCCCAATCCTTTTTGTAGCAAAGGACAAGCCTGGACGAACTCTTATATAAAGCAAAGCGCTCCCGAGGACACATGGGAATTACTGTCAAGCTAGTTTTTTCATCATGCTCATATGATTCGCGTTCATTATTTTGATAATTTGATATGTGGGTAGACCGGTGCTTGGGTGTTGTCCTTCCTTAGACAAGCCTCCCACTTATGATTAACCCCTCTCACAAGCATCCGCAACTACGAAAGAAGAACTAGATAAATCTAACCATAGCATGAAACATATGGATCCAAATCAGCCCCTTACGAAGCAACACATAAACTAGGGTTTTAGCTTCTGTCACTCTAGCAACCATCATCTACTTATTACTTCCCAATGCCTTCCCCTAGGCCCAAATCATGGTGAAGTGTCATGTAGTCGACGTTCACATAACACCACTAGAGTAAAGATAACATAAATCTCATCAAAATATCGAACGAATACCAAATTCACATGATTACTTATAACAAGACTTCTCCCATGTCCTCAGGAACAAACGTAAATACTCACAAAGCATATTTGTGTTCATAATCAGAGGAGTATTAATTATCACTAAGGATCTGAACATATGATCTTCCATCGAATAAACCAACTAGCATCAACTACAAGGAGTAATCAACACTACTAGCAACCCACAGGTACCGATCTGAGGTTTTGACGCAAAGATCGGATACAAGAGATGAACTAGAGTTTCAGAGAAGATAGTGCTGGTGAAGATGTTAATGGAGATTGACCCCCTCTCGATGACAGGATCGTTGGTGATGACAATGGCTTCGATTTCCCCCTCCCGGAGGGTAATTTCCTTGGCAGAACAGCTCCGCCAAAGCCCTAGATTGGTTCTGCCCAGGTTCCGCCTCGATATGGCGGCGCTTTGTCCCGAAAGCTTCCTTTTGAATTTTTTTCCTAGGTCAAAACACACCAGATAGCAGAAGATGGGCGGAAGCCTGACAGGGGCCCATAAGGTAGGGGGCGCGCCCCCCACTCTTGTGGATGGCTGGTGGCCCCACTCTGGTGCTTTCTTCGCCCAATATTTTTTTATTAATTTCAAAATGACTCTCCATAAAGTTTCAGGACTTTTAAAGTTGTGCAGAATATGTCTCTAATATTTGCTCCTTTTCCAGTCAAGAATTCCAGCTGCCGGAATTCTCCCTCTTCATGTAAACTTTGTAAAATAAGAGAGAAAATACATAAGTATTGTGCTATAATGTGTAACAACAGCCCATAATGCAATAAATATCGATATAAAAGCATGATGCAAAATGGACGTATCACCCACATAAACTTCTAATAGTGATTTTGTTTTTTAGGAGAGGGCTCCTGGAATGTTATTTGTAGCTGCAACTTTGCGGGATCATCGAACGTTGATCATGTTTGATGCCCCCAAAGTTTCATTTTTTTTAAAATTTACTGTTCATAGAGGGTGTAGGGGCACCCGGGTGTTGAAAGCCGTATCTCTACAAGCGTATCTCTACAAGTAAACGTTGAGGATTTCATACAAAACTCCATTGGACTTAGATGATTGGGTCACTTAAGAGCCCAATTGCTTTCTTCGTCTATCCAGGTATATTTGGTTTAAACCCCAACAAACCCCACTAAAATTTTGGTACGACCAAAGGAAAGGCATGATCAAAAAAATTCCAAGTCACTGTTTTTTTCAGGGAGCCAAGTCATTGTTGTTTGGTTTGCATCCAATCGTGACTTTCCCACGTAGAAGTAATATCTACTTACGCGAAGCCAAAAAATTGGCAAAGGTTTTCCTGACGCGAGGCGGGGACTACACGGGGCGAGGTAAATTATTAGTAGCTATCCAATCCAAACAACCGCCAAATATCATGGGCCAATTCTTCAGGGCCAACTAATATGGGCACGTCTATGTATGGCTTAGAGCGACTCCGATAAGGAGCCGGTACTGGGGCGGTCCAGTAACCACATGGCCTCATCATGTTGACATCACCGATACCTTGCCCGATATGAAGCAAACCAAATGTTCTGCTTAATCATTACACTTTCCCACACAGAAAACAATACTAAATACATATAGTACATTCTAAAAAGTATACATCGCTTATTTAAAAAATGCAAATGCAGTGTAAAAAATTTTCACTCAACTTTTAAAAAATATTTCTACCATTCAGAAAAATGAATATGTACGCATTACCAAAAAATGTACATTACATTTAAGAAAAAATTGTCATACAATGTGTGTGTGTGTGTGTCTATATATATATCCATACAATGTGTGTGTGTGTCTATATATACAATGTGTGTGTCTATATAAGGAAAATCCATCCTACCACCCGGTGGTAGTTACCCCACATGTCTCATATACTATCATGTGGTACTATATATATTATTTTATTATTTTAAATATGTTCATATACTATATCTAAGATATTTCAAAACAAGTTACATGAAAAAATTGCATATGAGCCCATAGTTTTTGTTATATTTGTGAAATACGTATATATTTGTACGTAAAAGAAGCATACTCAAAAAATGGTACATACTCCTTAAAATTTGTATATATACTACCTAATCATTGTTATATACTACATACTACAAGTATATACTCTCGGTTTCGATAGATATTACATACAACATATAAAACGTAAGTGGTGGTAACTACCACTGCTTGTAGAAAATATTTGTCATATATATATATATATATATATATATATATATATATATATATATATATATATATATATATCCATACAATTAAAAATGTTGTATACCATTCACAATAATGTATTATATTTCAATAAAATGCTAAAAAGTTTCAAACAAAAAATTTAGAGATTAAAAAAATTTATCCAATATATAAATTTTCACATGGTTAAAAAATAATGATTTTGTCATAAAAGAATATGTTTCAATATGTATTAAAGTATATATTGAAATAAAGTATTTAGAAAATTGTTAATCATGTACTTAAAAATGTTAGCCGTATATAATAAAATATCTTAGATGTACGCGAAAAATGTACAGTATGTATGAAGAAAATTAGACATCAAAACATATATTTAAAAGAATAATAATTTTATATTAAAAAGGTAAAAGTATATGAAAATATTCCTGATGCGTACGCAAAATATACAACATGTATGAAAAAATAGATATATGATAGAAAAAGAAAAAGTGAAAAAAAACATTGAAAATTAAACCGAAGCAAGCAAGAAAGAAAAACTCACAAAAAAGAAAAGGAAAACCAAAGATAACCATAGAAAAATCCAAGAAAACCTGAGGAGAAAACTCACTATCAACTATAGTATCGGGCCGGCTGAATAGCCGCCGCGGTCTAGACGATTCCTGGGACCCTTGCTTCCCCAAACCCTCGCCGCCGTCCCCTCCCCTCCCCGAGCCACCACCTAAACCCTCGCCGCCGGCGCTCCCCGCCCAACCTGCATCCACCGTACACAATGTCTACCTCCTCCAGTGTTTCCTTCGACGGCGTCCCATCCGGATCCGCTTCCTCCATCGTCGCCGGCGCCGTGTGCGGCTACCACTTGCTCAAGATCGACGGCTACTCGCGCACCAAGGAGGTCCCCAATGGCAAGTGGATCGACTCTTGCCCGTTCCGGGTGGGAGGCCGCACATGGCATGTTCGTTACTATCCCAACGGGGACACATCTGAGTACGTCGATTCCATATCCCTCTATCTCACTCTCGATGATACCCTCGCCAAGGGCGAGACCGTGAAGGCACGAGTTAAGTTCAGCTTAATCGACCAAAATGGGAAGCCGGTGCCGCTGCATACATTGACTACCTCGACCAAAGATTTTTCCGTGTTTAAAAGTTGGGGATTCTCCAAGTTTATGAAAACGGAGGATTTGGAGAAATCAGAGCATCTCAAGCACGATTCTTTCGCTGTAAAGATCGATGTCACTATCATGAGCGAGTTCCACGCGCAGGAGACACCATCCATCCTGGTGCCATCCTCTGACATGCACCGTCACTTCGGGGATCTCCTGTCGAGCAAGGCAGGCGTTGATGTTGAATTCCGAGTCGGCGGGGAGACATTCTCTGCTCACCGGTCAGTGCTTGCGGCGCGGTCTTCGGTCTTCTGAGCAGAATTCTTCGGCACGATGAAGGAGGCAACCACCAACGAGGCCATATGCATAGATGACATGGAGGCACAAGTGTTTAATGCTCTGCTTACATTCATGTACACCGATACCTTGCCCGATACGAAGCAACAAGAAGAATCTGCAATGGCTCAGCATTTGCTTGTTGCAGCAGATAGGTATGATTTGGAGAGGCTGAAGCTGATTTGTGCAGATAAGTTGTGTAAGCAAGTCGATACGAGCTCCGTATCGACCATCTTGGCATTGGCGGAGCAGCACCACTGCCATGAGCTTAAAGCAGCATGCTTGGTGTTCCTCAGCTCACCGACGAATCTGGATGCAGCCATGAAGTCTGAAGGTTTTGAGTTTTTAACCAAGAACTGTCCCGGTGTTATGAAGGATATCCTCGTGTCCCAGGTTGTTCCTAGTTTACTTGGGAAAAGAAAATCAAAGGCATGAACATGAGGTTTCAATCATGATGCCATTGGCAATCATCAGTCCAGAAAGTAACTATGGACTCTGCAGGTCTGCATGCTATCCAGTATTAGTAGTTCTATGTGTAGTCTTTCTCTCACAAGGATTTGACGTGCGTTCGTCCTTTTTTGTTTGGTCGTCATATCCTTTGTGGAGAACTATTAATGGTTTGACAAGCTATGTGCAAAGCAAGAACCATGTGTGCTAATTAGTGATCCATCATCAGAACTTGTAAGCCTTTCAGCTAATTCCCCTTTACATTTTGCCCAGTGTCTTTCTGATTGCTCTGTAACAGTCGATGCGAGCTTTGCACTGCTTCCTCAGTTCATACACCCATGTTCTGCACAGGGCACTCTTTATTTAGCAGGTTCAGATAGATCATGACATGTTGAAATGCTAGGTTGGGATTCAATGAAAAAACATTGGCCTTGGCGGGTTTAACTAAAAAATTATGGCTGCAGTTTGTGGTGATGACCTCTGACATAGTAGTGGCTGCTAAGTTCGTGATCTTATAAAGGTTGTGGAGTTTGGCCTCAGGTATTTTCGTACAAGGTTATGATCTCATTTTATCATTGTTGGAGATTTGCAACGAGCAGTTGTCTTCTGTGAAATAGCCCCCAATACAACAGTAGTTCTATCCTATATCTCAAGTCATTCCTTCTTGAATTAAGGATCAAATAGCTCCCGGTTTCAATCAATTTATAAACAACAGAAGTTCTAAAAGTAGAAAGGTTCAGCTATTTTCATGCCAATGTCAGTACCTGCGCAGGTTCATTGTAGATAACATTTTGATTGTAATAAATACATGCTTAATGCGCACCCCATGTCGAGTAAAGATTTCCACAACTTGTCTGATTTAGATGAGCGCGTAATATTAGTTCCTAGTTACCAGTGGTCAATTCACATTGTAGTTTAAATATCGATTGGTTCCAAACTTGATTGCCTTTGCCTCCTGCTTCTGGAGCTATTCTTAGTTATTGGACTGGGACTGCTTGCTTGTCACTTTACTCATTGGTCGCTGGAATCTTTGGTATGAACATACCTTACACTTGGAACGACAACCATAAATACGTCTTTAAATGGTAAATTGCAGCACTTTACATAACACGCCTTATATAGTGATTGGTAATTTTGAATTATCGTGATTGGCTCCCCTATCTTCTTTTCATGGAGAAGAAGATGGCCGGCGCACCGTTGGTGGACGCCAGTCGTTGCTGCTGCCGGCGCTCGAAGTACGCCGCCCAAGCCGCGTGGTTGTCAGCGGCGTACTGGGGGACGGAGAGCTCGGCGTCAGTGAGGGAGGCGTGCACGATCTCGACCTCGTCGGCGAAATAGGAGGGTTTGGCCACAGCGTCGGGCAACGGGGGAATGGGCACTCCCCCGTTGCTGAGCCTCCAGCCCGTCGGCCCGGCGCGCATGTTCAACGGCGCCGGGATGTTCGCCTGGAACAGGAGCCACGACTCCTGTTCGTGGAGCGAACGGCGGCCGAAGCCGTTGGCCGCTGCCTCGTCTCCGGGGAAACGCTCGGCCATCGGAAAAGGGAAGGGAGAGGGAGGGCTGGGCGGCGGCTCACGAGAGAGGGAGGGCTGGGGAGAGGAGCTCGGCGGTGGCGCTCGGGAGAGGTGGCGCTCATCAGAGGCGAGCGAGGCCATATATAGCCGCGCCGCATCCGTGTGTACACGTCCGTATGTATGCGTCCGAGGAAGGGGAGGCGTCGGTGCGCCGCCCCGTAACGCGCCGCCCGTGAGGAATCAATGGCAAATCTGACCGGCGGCAGCCTTGCCATTGATTCCCCGCGGGAAACCGAGGCGTTGGGAGAAGACGAGGCGGTGTCGCTGACGCGGCTGGCCCGCGGCTCTTTCGCGCCAAAAACGATTCGCCCGGCGCCCCCGAGCGCGCCCCAGCGCGCCGGGTTCGGGTTGGGTCCGCCAGCGCCAATTTCGGCCCGAGCCGACGAAAACTGGGCCCTTGGGCGCGACTGGGCCGATTTTTTGGCGCCGGCGACCGAAAAGTCGCTCGGGGGGCCTTGTTGGGGGCGCGGCTGGAGATGCTCTCAGGCACATGATCTTGCAGGAGAGGGACAAAGGAGAGGGATGTGGGAGCTTCGTACTTGCGATTTCATCTGTTAGTTAGCTATGTTGAGGTCGAATTTCCGGTTATCTACCAGTCATGGCACAGTGCTCCGCGGAAAGAATAGACTCTTTTACCGCTACATCTGCTGGAGAAGAAAAATCAACAAAGGAGATTCCTATCCATTTTCTAGTTGATGTTCGTCGGGTGGGGAGGAGGTGGGCGCAGCGCGCCAGGTGGGTTTTATAATAAGGATAAGTCTAGCCATAGTGGAGGTAACATAAGTAGTATCATGCACTTGGGACTCGCAAACATGTTTATGTGGCAGGCAATTAAAGAAGAGAGAGATGGTTCTAGTAACACAGGTAGACACCGTAACATAATAAATGTGATGCTACTATGTGTCATGCATGGCAATAAATGAGACCATCTATAATACTACTTTATGATACTATGCACTATGAATGTTGTATCATACACTAGTATCATACGCATGATACTAGTATATGATACTTCCCACTATGACCAGCTTAAGGCTGGCCATAGTGGGAGTAACATAAGTAGTATCATACACTTGGGACTCGAAAACATGCTTATGTGGCATGCAATTAAAGAAGAGAAAGATGGTTATAGTAACATAGGTAGATACCGTATCATAATAAATGTGATGCTACTATATGTCATGCATGACAATAAATAAGATCATCAATGATACTACTCTTGATACTATGTATTATAGAGATAGTAACATAGACTAGTAACATATGCATATTACTCTGATCATAGTGGGTAGTAACTTAGACTAGTAACATGTATATGTTACTAGGCTATGTTACTACCTCTATAGTGGGTAGTAACATATATGTAGTGTCATGCATCACTTCATTTATTACTTCATAGACTCATTTAGCATTGGGAACCACTAGGTGATGGTAACATATTATGTTACTCTATTTGTCTCTCTCCTCATTAACTACTTGACACATCATCAGTTATACTTATGTGGCATCTATGTTACTACTTATGTTACTCCCACTATGACCAGCCTAAGTTACTCCTCACTATGACCAGCCAGGGAGACATGGACTTAATGAATCGAGCGATCTACTCGGGAACAGTAGTGAGCCAATGGCCGCCGCATGGTTACGAGAAACAATCTTGAAGGCTTGCGACCTCCCCCGTCCGAAAATAATACAAGAAATTTGATTAAGTAGAGTGAAGAGAAACAAAAGCCATATAAAAAGACTAAAAGAAAATCATAGATAATCATTATCTTGAAGAGACAGGAAAGATATGTTCCATTTTGATTTGTAAATCGAATTGTTAACAAAGGCATCGGCTCTATTTAATTCCCTGGCTTGATATTTCAAGGTTTGGGCTCTGAGGCGCATCCTGGAGAATAAGAAAAAGAAAAAGGAAATGAAAAAGAAAAGAAGGAAGTTCCTAATAAAGTGGAATCAAATCATCTTTGTAAAAAAGTGAGCCGTCTTTTTCTTCCAAAAGAGAAAACCAAATCAGTAAAGCGAAGAAAATGTGAAAGAACATTGTCGAATATTATCCATTTCGGTGTACATAAGAGGACGACAGTTTCAAGTGGAAAATTTAGCAAATAGATGTATTTTGTGAACGAGAGCGCAAAGGAAACTTGTATACAATAAATTTTCTTTTTTGAGGGAAACTTGTCTATACAATAAACACGAGGGACTTTGCCCATAAAAAACACGCTCATATGTTTTTATGGCTACATTTAGCCTGATATAATAGTGACGTGGAGTTTCTACACCCAGGAGCAAATGCTCCTGATGTGAACAGTAAAAAAATAAAAAAAATTGTCAAAAAATTCTGAATTTTTTGTGACATACTTATACAAATGTTTGTTGTGCACGTAAAATTTCATCGCAAAATCACATTGGTGGAAGGTGTGGTAAAAAAACAAAATTGATGCTCTGAAAATGTTACTTACAAAAGCATTTTGGAGCTCTGATTTTGTTTTTTTTCGGCATGACTTCCACGAATGTGATTCCGTGATGAAAATTTTCATGCACAAAAAACACTTGTGAAAGTATGTCACAAAAAAATTCACACTTTTTTGAATTTTTTCAATATTTTTTTGATTTTACTGTTCACACCAGGAGCATTTTCTCCTGGGTGTAGAATGGTACTTTCGCCGCTGAGGTATAGTTATCTGGTGAAGGTTGTGAGGTTTGGCCTGAACTACTTCCATACAAGGCTATGAACCATTTTTGGGGGACAGATTTAGTAACCCGAAGCTATTTTTTTCTATATATCTTGTGTTTGAAGGTTTTCCCCCTGAATCAAGGACCTCAAACAGCTCTCAATTTCACTACCATGAAGTTAAACAATAGTAGTTCCAAAAGGAAAAAGGGTCAAATTGTTCCTGTTAACATGGGTAAATGACAGAATTTCTCAAGAACATGTCTGATATAGTAGAAGTAGAGGGTGATTATGAGTTAGCATTACCAGTATCTCACTTATGTGTAACTTGTGTTCGGTTCTTATATGAGGGTTATTGTGCCTTTGTTTTCGTCTTGATTGTTGCTTATGCTCGGCTTGGCCACGATGAACTTGAATATGCAGGTAGCTGACAGGAGAACTACAAGGGATGCTGGGAAACCTTTCACCGCTAAGCTAGCATACCACGCAGTTTGGAGAACGAAGCCTACGGACCAATATTTTAAATAGCGGGATATGGCATATAGCGGTGACCCTTAAAAACAGCTATAGCTGGGCTATATCGGGCTATAGCGAGGCTATAGCGTCAAATTATACATGAAAGCATTTAGCGGCAACATGCTCAAACAACTATAGCGGAGCTATAGCGGGGCTATAGCCGGCTATTTAAAACTATGCTACAGACACGCTCGCCCCGGCCATCCGGCAAAACTACGCCCCAA